AGCGAAACCCTGTCTGCCGAGCCAAGTGGGCTTTCTAGCAGAGATCAAGCCAGTCCACAAACAAAACATCGCTGAATTGGGGGTTCTTTTTGACATCTTAATTTTTTATTCCAACCCTGTCCCCCTCTTACTTTAGGATTCAATGGTGGTTGACAGTACAGGATTGAGGTGTGCTAAGGTGCGTGGAGAGGGGAAGATTCAACACCTGAGGAGAAAACACACAGTCTGCCTCGCGAGGAACTGAAGGTGCCAGTGAGGAAATGAAAACCTTGTCCGTCTACATGGAGAAGGACACACGCAAGTCAGAGTGAATTATGCCAGAAAGACCTGACTCTGAAAATACAGGATTCGGGCTGCCCCAAAGTCAGGGTGGAAACAAAGCACAGGGCGGGTCCTTTCTATTGTTCGTGTCTCCAATCTCTGGCCCTCATTCCTAGGCATGGGATACCATGCTTCCTGAAAAAAAAAAAAAAAAGCCCATCACTCACCAGAGGGAAAGCTAGTCCAGGCTTCCGGGCATCCAGAGAATGGGTCATCCCTTTGATCTGCCTGATCATATGCACTCACTGTGCTGAACCAGACAGATTCCTTTGGGCTATGAAAGGGAGCCATGGCAGCAGACTCTTCCAATGCCCTGAGATGTGGTAGGATCCAGTGTCTGGAAACAAACCCAGAATCACCTATATTATTACTACTTTCACTTTAAGAAAGCAAGGTAGAAATATTTCCAACAACCACAAAGCGAACTTCCAGGTGAAGACAGGGCAAGCTGGCTCCCGTCACCTGAGTCTTAGCAGAGACTCCAGAGTGTGCAGAGGTGTGGGAAGGTTTGTTGTGGACAAAATGGACGCCATCAGATGCACTCTGGTTTGAGGTAGTTGGCCCAGGGAAGGTATAGGGATCTAGGCCTAACTAGGGCATCCTGTGAGGCTGATTAGGGATTGTGTATTGGGATTTCTTGGTCAGTTATTAATAAATTGGGCATTTGGAGCCAATTGCTTACAAGAGCCATTTTTTCCTGAACTTATTGATGGAAAGGGCAAGCAATCTAGATAGCAGCAAATCTGACTAAAAGTTAACCGTAGGCTGGCTCCTCAGGCTGGGGATTGTAGACACCGAGCTGGTTTCCAGGGGTGGCTACTGCAGACTATGGGTCAGAGTTCTGTTTTTATGTATGGTCTGCTTGCCATTTGTATGTCAATTTCTCACCAGAGACTAAAACAGAGAGGGGATGTGGTTCGTCTGCAGTCTAGTAGCTAATTGTAACCAGAGCTGGTAGGTCATTCTGAGTTGAGCATCTTCCTCCTGAGATCTACAGAGAAACCCATTTCGATTCTGTTCATTGAGGAGGCACGTTTAGAGGTAGAGGAGATTGAAATTCGACACAGATGTTGTAGACATACGTTTCACCAGGAAATCAATGGGTAGTTCCACACTTTGTTAGAAAGGCTCAGCACTTTCTGAGTGCTGAGAGCCACCATTTGGTCAAGGGCTGTCTAAGCCCTGTTTTTCCGTCCGTCTGCCCAAGTGAGGTGGTTCTCTACCTCCTGCCTGCAGCCATACTTTACCCCCACCCCAGTGGCAGTGTGAACTTGAGCTGCAGGAATCAGGCTGCCTATACAAGCGTTGGTTCTGCCGCCTGTGAGCATCTCTGGAGGCATCTTCACTTGTAGATGGTAATGAGACTGACTGCCTTCCTCACCAGCCTACTCTAAGGTGTAAGTAACACAATGTATGTGAATTTCCCAGTACAGTGCCTCCCATGTCATAAGTACTTAATGACAACACTCACTTTAGTTAGAGTTGCTCCCTCCCTCTATTCTTGGGGAACAAATTCTAAACCCTCTGTTGGATGACTGAAGCTACAATTATTATGACCCTTTTTGTTTGTTTGTTTGTTTTTGTTTTTGTTTTTGGTTTTTTGGTTTTTCGAGACAGGGTTTCTCTGTGTAGCTTTGCGCCTTTCCTGGAACTCGCTTTGTAGTCCAGGCTTGCCTCGAACTCACAGAGATCCGCCTGCCTCTGCCTCCCAAGTGCTGGGATTAAAGGCGTGCGCCGCCACCGCCCGGCTTGTTTTTGTTTTTTTTCGAGACAGGGTTTCTGTGTGTAGTTTTGGTGCCTGTCCTGGAACTCACTTTGTAGACCAGGCTGGCCTTGAACTCCCAGAGATGCGCCTGCCTCTGCCTCCCCAGTGCTGGGATTAAAGGCATGCACCACCGCTGCCCGGCTATTATGACCTTTATACAGCGCTTCAGTTTTCATGGGAGACTGTTTTCCAGGCTGCCCTCTCTCCCCAAGGACCTTCAACTCCATGGATGTTCAATTCCCTTTATATATAAAATGGCATAGCACTTGCACACAACCTGCACATCCTCCTGTGGACCTCAGCCATCTTCAGTTACTTGTGATATTTAATATGATATAAAAACCATGGCACAGCTGGGAGACTGGACTATTAAAAAAACGAAGATGAAAAAAGTCTATGCAGGTTCAATACAGATGTGATTTTTTTTTTCAAAAAATTTTTTATCCACAACTGGCTGAATCTGCATGTACAAAACCCTCAGACACAGAAGACTTGTGACATTACATTTTCCTCTATACATACATACATACATAATACATACATACATACATACATACCCACAAATACCCACCTATGATAAAGCTTAACGTATATAGTGGGCACCATAAAAGACTAGCAGCGGTAGCAACACATTATAATAAAAGTCATTTTAAAGTTACAGATCATTTGCTTTTAGAATTTGCAACCTAATGTTTTCAGACCATGGTTGCTCTCATCTGAAACAGCAGAAAGAAGAACTGAGAATAAGGGCGGGGGGGGGGGGGGGGGGGGGGGGGGGGGGGAGGGGGGGGTTGGGGTACTGATTGCTCGTTTGCAGCTGTAGAGAACCACAGTGGACCCTTCATTAGTATACATCCTCCAGGAACCCACCTTCCTGGAGTTCTCCCTCAAGCCCTAGTGTGGTTGGATTACCCATTGCTGAATTCCTCATTTGTACCATGTAAGTCAAGCACAACCATTTGAAGAACCTGGTGAAGAAGACGGTGGGTCCCTCAAGAATGAAGATTCAGTCTTGGTTTAAACTCAATCAAGAAAGGGAAGAAGAGGGAGAGGGGGCAGGGATGGGGAGCAAGAGAGACTGAATATTTAAAACTTGTTTTCTATGGTTGTGAGAAGGGTGATTTTAATTTTCTTCTTCATACTTAGCTCTATTTTTCCAATTTTTCTCTATTGGGTGGTTCTTACTTATGGTGATATTTTATTTGTGCTGAAATGTGACTTCATTTGCATGTTAATAAATAAAAGTGCCTGGGGGTCAGAGCTAATAGCAAGCCATAGCAGAAGTCTGGCTGTGGTAGCACAAGCCCTTAATCCCCGATCACATGACAGGCAGATCTCTGTGTGTTCAAGGACACCACCAGCATGGAGACACACGCCTGTAATCTCAATACCAACCATAGAAACCTGGAGGTCTATATAGACAGGCAGTGACGAGGAGGTCATGTGGTTGGGGTTACAACCAATGAGAAGGCAGAACAGAAAGTCAGTAAAAAGACAAACACACAGGAAGTAGGTCTCTTTCTGAGGGGAAGGACGACAGCAACAGCGAGGGGTAAGAAGGCAGTCTTGGTCTTAGCTCTTGGCTGCTGCTCTGACCTCTTAGGCTTTTAACTCTGCATTTGGCTCTGTGTTTCTTATTTAATAAAACCGTTCAGAATTACACCTGTAGTTACTTATATTAAAATTTTTAGTTCTTAAAAGTCTGTCAATGCAGAAATTAGGGGCAATAAAAAAAGGCAATGGTAAAGGAGCCGAGCTGGCTGGGGAAACTGAACAGTACAAATCTAGGGGACATCGTTCTGATGGAGGGGAAAGGAAGACGGGACCATGCCAGGTCAGAAGCCAGCTCCTGGGACCAGGAAAGAGCACCTGGAAAGAAAACATTTTGGTTAAACAAAGACAGAAAGACAAAGACTTGATCCAGCAACAAATTAGCCTGCATGACTGGAGAAAATCCAAATGGGAGGGCCTCAGGAGATGGCTCACACCCTTCCGTGGGAAGACTCTGGAGCAACACCACAGAACCTGTGCCCACTACAATCACTGCCACATTTAAAGCGCCTGGTACAAGAGTGTAATGAACCAAGTTAAGAAAGAAAACAGAGGTGCCGAGAGAACAGTGCTCAGAGCCAGTGAGCTGAGACCAGGAAGGTTCGAGCCCCTCACTCCGCCTGTCATTCACTGAGGTCAATCACAAGGTTGGAGGTGGCAGTGAATTAAGACATGGAGCTGGAGATGGATCACAAGAGTAAGAAGCCCAGATTCTCACTCCCCTTCCTTCCCAGGGATCCAGAGGATCCTGCGTGAAACTGAGATTCAAGCTCACCCTCAACAGTGTTCCTTTCTAGGAGTACTTTCAACTTCAGGCAGATATTACACAAAGAAAACTTTATTTGTAGAAATACATATGGGCCACGGACTTCAGAGCCAGAAGATAGATACGAGACTGGGAAGTTGGGTTGGAATGTTCAGTAATTGTAAGACACCTAAATCTGTCCTATCTGCTGTATTCTTTCAAAACTCATACCAAGAAGCCATTGGCTCACGTGTCTCCTTGGGCTTCAGTAGTAAGTATGCCTGCCCTTAATTAAACACTAACTCCTGTAGCCACTCTTCTGGAATTTAAAGGTCTTGTTTATTTATTTATTATATGAAAATACATCACCTGTTCTTAACAGGTCATAAATATAATATTTTTAAGGTCTCGTGTTTAAATATAAAATAAATAGAAGTGCAGTAGAAAATAAATACATATATTAATTAATAAATATAGCTCTCATTAGAAAAGACATTACAGAAAATTTTACAAAATTAACAGTGTAAGGTAATACTGGGGATACACAAAGACACCCACATAAGGAAATCAATAATACATTAATAATATACACTGTGACCAGCACTAAATTATATGACAAAGAGGTGGTGGTTTGAGGTCATGTCTTCATGGTACTAAGGACAGACACTCTTGGGTAGCAATGCTCTCAGTGGCCTCTGGGGCCATGTCTTCGCAGTGCTGAGGACTGGGACTCTTGGGTAGGAGTGTTCTCGGCAGCCTCATCACTTTCGTCTACATCATCTCCTCCATCCACCTCAGGAGAATGCCGAGTTCCCCCAGCGCCTTTACTGCCGCTGCCTGAAGTTCAAGCTGAAAGAAGAGTAGGTACATGGGGTCAGAGACACCTGCCCAGGGAGGGACAGTCCTCCCTCCTGTTGGCAGCTCAGCCGGGACACTGACAAGAGCGTTCTTTTCAAATGAAGAGATGTAGAGAGGCGACAGCATCTCAAATATCCACAGGAGGAAGGAAAACTACTGAGTCCACTACCTTGGACTTACTACACAGGCAATGGAGGCCCAGAGAGAACCTGACTCACACAGATGAAAATACACTGTTTTCCTCAAGAATTGTACATGTATGTGTATGTCTCTCTGCGTGTCTCTCTCTCTCTCTCTCTCTCTCTCTCTCTCTCTCTCTCTCTCTCTCTCTCTGTGTGTGTGTGTGTGTTCCCTACTATGTATACTTAGATCTAATAAATATTGACATGTCAAGCACTGGACCAGTTCAGAAGTGAATGGACAATCCTTGCCCATAAGGAATTCTTGGTTGGGGAAGGGAGATGGGCAGGAATAGCAACTGAAATGCCGGATGATGAATAAATGATAGGAGTCCCCACATCATGGCAAGAGGTAGACAACTCTGGGAGAAGCATCTGCTACCTTCCTGGAGGTGATGCCTAGGCTGACTCCTGGAGGAGGAGGAAGTCAGCGAAAAGTTGACTCAGAATTTCTTGGCAGGTGTGTAAAAGTATCAATGTGAGGAATGCATAGATGGGTATGTATGATATTGCAGGTGAGCGCTTTTGAAGGTATGCATGTGTGTGTACACTGGAAAACTATTGTTTCTCATCTATGCCCCTTGGAAGATCCAGGTGTCTCTGGATAGAGATTCTTTCTTCACTGGTAGGCCATGTAGAGAAAGTATCCTTCTAGAACCTGGGATGGTCCCTGGGACCATAGAGAACTATTAACCTGATTTTTCCAACATGAATATACCTCCCACTTATCTACAGTCTCAGTTCCAAAAACACAACTACCACAATCCATACAAAAATAGTACCTACCTCTATGAAGTGACTCAGAATCTGGTTGTATTTCTTCATTGCTTCTTCCCCACAATGGCATGCCATACGGGAATGCTGGAAAAGACCCAAAGGATGGTAAGTTTTATTTTTACCTTTTAGTGTATATAGAATTTTGCCTGCATGTGTGTATGTGTGCCACATTCATGCAGTGCCAATGGAGACCAGAAGAGGGCGTCAGATGTGGGACTGGAGTTAACAGAACATTGTAAGCTACCATGTGGTTGGTGGGAACCAAGCTTAGGTCCTCTGCAAGAGTACCCAGTACTCTTTAACTACTGAGCCATCTCTCCGGTTGTAATTTTATTTAAAAATTTGACTTTTCGGTCCTGGCTTGGCATAAAAATCTGTTTTACCTATAATCCTGTGAATAGTCACTTCCTACATTTCTGTAGGAAAGTCTTTTCATGGTTCATCATTTGGGATCATTTAACTAACCATCAGATAGGCAAATAGGCCAGCTTTTCAGTTTCAAATATCTGAATCTTTTTAGAAAGAGGTAGTGCTGAAGGAATTTCTAGTTCCTGAGCTCCACTGACTTCCTATGCGAGCTCCTGTCTAGGAGGCTCCAGAGCAAACCTAAGCTCCATGGGAAGAACGCAATTCTAAGGTCCTGTCACAACCCAAGATCAAGTCCAATGGCCTGATGACTGACCACCTGAGCACAAGATGCCCTAGTAAGGTTGTAGAGTTCATTACCACAGGAAAAAAAGAAACCTAGTTCCATAGATACTAAATAATAATCCTAAACATCAAACAGCCAGCATTTTATATTTCTTCAAACTTTTTAAAATGCTTTTTGAATGGAGCGTATATTCAAAGAAGCAAAGTATTGCTAAATAGTTACATAGTTCAACACTGGTTTTGTTTTGTTTACTAATGTTAGATTCGATTTCTCTACCCAGTCAATAGAATAGGAAAAGGAGCTTGGTTGCTAAGTGGCTCAAGTTATGTCCCCAAGACCTTTACTCACACAGATCGAGAGTTCCTTCTTGATGAGAAGAAAAGAATTGGCGAGGCTGCTGGTCTTTCGGAGGATGCGGCGGTCAGGGGTCTGGTAGAATTTGAATACCCTGTCCAGATAGAGTCTCACTAAATGTCGGAGCAAACAGCACCTCTCCGAATGCTGCAAAAAAAAGATATGACAAGTGTATTCATGGGAAAAGGGAAGACAAGACCAGGCCTGATGGAGAAGCTCTGGCTTTGCCCTCCCAGAGCTCCCCCAGATTAAGTCCATACCTTTGTGTCTTGCAGAGACTCAGTTGTCCTTAAGATTCTGATGTCTATGTTTTCATCTTCGGCTTGCTAAACAGGAAAAGGGTCAAGAAAAGACAAGTCATTGACTGCCACCAGGGTGGCAGCCACCTTTGATCTCTTCCCCACTAGGGTCCAGTGAGAGGCATTTCTAAAGTATTCAGTACAGGCATCTCTTGGAAATGCACTGTCCAGGACTGGAGCCTCTCTCCATCTGGCCTGTTTTCATTAACATGCTATCAGGGATACCTTGGGAAGACAGACAGACAGAAGGGGAAGAGGACAGACAGAGAGGAAAGCTGGATCCCTCCTTTACATACCACACTATCCCGAATGTCAGAAAATTCCTTTTGTATTGCCTGGAGGTTTGAAGTGATCACACAGCTTCCCAAATGCAGAGTCTTGAGCCCAGTCAAAGGAGTCCAGAGGAGAAAACCCACAGCGAAGAACAGACCAAAGGCAAAACCGAAAGCTTTCATCTTATACCTGGATCCTGGAGAGCAGAGGTGGAAATTCAAAGAGATCAGGACTACTGATTTCTCCAGTCAGGCCAGCAAGAATAGTCCAGCAGCAGGTGTCCACTGGGTGGGAACTAGACAGCCTTCCCTGGGCGCGAGCAGTGGTATGTGCTCACACAACTTACTAAGAAAAGCTGCTTCCGACAGGAGCCTCCCCGACCTTCAGGGTCATGGCTCCTTTATTATGCCACCTTCCCCGTTCCACAGTCATTGCCAGCAGGGGAAGGCCTGGAGCAGCCAACACTTGCAGGGAATCAACAGAGGATGACATTTCAGAAGAAATGTCAAAACTTGTTTGAGAGAGTTGGCGTAGACACCCTCCCCTTCCAGAAAGCCACAGCGACTCCTTCTGTGGTCCCCTTAGACCTACAGGGGAAAACAGTTTCACAGAAGCTGTGACCATGCCAAACTACCTGGGGGGAAATTGTCTAGATTCTGTAGACACCCACAGGGCAGAAGAGCCTGGACCTATCTGGCACTGGTCTGAGATCAGAGAGCTGAACCGAGCATAATAGATGCATTGCCGCTCTGAAGCCAAAAACCAAAGTCAATTATTCCATAACAGCCCTACAGCCAGTGAAAGGCAAGAACTGATGGGCAGCTGATAGGGCCCCGACTTACAGCCTCCCTTTAGAGGCTCCCGGGGCTCCACAGCGCCCTCTGCAGGGGAAACACAGTCAGTCGTGCCTGGGGTGGATCCAATAGCAATACGTTTTTTCTCTGGCCTTCTATCTTAGGCCTGAGGCAGAGAGAATGAGCCCCACCAAAAAGCAGAGACACATTTGAAGCAGTTCGTGTGTTCTTGGGGTGAGGCTATTCAGTTAAGAAGGCAATGCTTCTTGAATTTTAAGATAAAATTAGAATAGCCTAGGCTAAGGAAAATAAGGCTCTCTCTCGCCTCGGCCACAAAACGACTCCACACTTGACATTTCTCTTGAATATCATTCTCGGTCAACTCACTGTTAGTGTCTGCTGCTCCTTACCTGCTGGCCATGACAGTGAACCTGGGATTGGGACAGAATATTTTAATGCAACATCAAACAAGAAATTGTCTGTTGGAAACAGTATCAAAGTCTTAAATAGTAACAGAAGTTGACAGTGCCATACTGAGCCATTGAAACAGAAGGAGAAACATGCACCCCTACACATGTATTTTCATAACTTTTATAAGTTTTCTCAATAGTATATGATGAAAATATTATGGATGGGTGTTCTTCCCTCAAAACAATTCGGGTAAAATTATAATAAAATCTGGGAAGTTGAAGTAAAATATTTGAACTTCAAGTGCTGACGAGGGACTGGGGATGGCTCACCCAGTAAAGCGCTTGTCACACAGGCAGGAGGACCGGTATTCTGACACACACACACACACACACACACACACACACACACACACACACACAGCCTGTGTGAAGAGCTGGAGCATACCTGCAGTCACAAGGCTGGCACGGCACAGACCGGGAGATCCCCAGCCTTGCTGGCCCGCCAGCCTAGCCAAATCACTAAGCTCCATGTCCCAGTGAGAAACCATGTCTCAAAAACAAGATGGATGGCTACTGAGGAAGGACCCACGCACATACACATTCCACAGGCACGTACACACAAACACACAGCCTCTACCCCTCCACATACACTTACAGATACACATGCACACTCCATGTACACACACACACACACACACAAACACAACCCCTACCCACCCACCCCTGCACACATACACCTACAGATACACATACACACTCCATGTACACACACACACACACAAACACAACCCCTACCCACCCACCCCTGCACACATACACCTACAGATACACATACACACTCCACGTGCACATATACACGAACACACAATCCTCTCCCCACACACAATCATTGAGCAGTATAATAAGCTTATTTAATGTTCCAATATGTTTGGCTGCTTTTAGTGGGCTTGGCGGGGGGAGGAAAAACCATTCTAAATTTCTGCTCTACAAGTTCCCACCTGTCAGCTGTCTACGTTTGCCCAAGACTGAGGGCATAGACTGAACTCAAGTCCATTTTTTCAATGGACACTCCCAAGGAAACCAGAATGAGTCGGGTACCCTATACCTGTAAGTCAGTTCATCTCTCTGGGATTCATTTTCTTAGCCCCAAAAGGGTGATTATTAAACTTACTCCAAAACTTATTTTCTATTTAAATAAAATACAGTATATATACTTAGTACACAGGGAGAGAATGATTCATTTTAAGTTGAGATTGACATTGTTGCCTGAAACACCGTGAGTATATAATAAGTCTATTGTGAGAAAGAATTCCTGGAAAGAAGCTGTGTCTGCAGGTCTGACTGATGAATGTCAGAACTGGGGAGAGAGTGGGATGTTGCAGGCCTAGAGGCTAGTTGCCTTATCCTGGGACAGTTCTAACCCTCCAGAAGAGTGATTCCTTGCCACCTCTGTGTCTGAACTATTTTGTGACTAATGTATAGACACCTTTTGCAATCTATTAACTTAGCAGACCACTAGCTTCCACCAACCCAAAAGCTAAGAATGTCATCAGAGTACATCTTGGCCTTATAGTAAAGTTTCCCCCAGTATTCTTTCTGTACCTGCCTCTCTGGAGAACCCACCAATGTATTTTAAACTTGCCTCAATTTATGACTTTCCTTTTTCCTGTAAAAATTATAAATTGTTCATGAAATGGCTTTGACATCACCATTTGGAATTTGGGATAACCTAAATCTGTGTTCCCAGGCTACAGTCCAAAAGAAACTTTCTTACCCTTTTCAGAAAAGAGCTGTGGATTTTACATCAACAGTTACAGTGCTGTGCTCTGATATGGGGCTCTGAGAATGATCGACTTTTCACTGAAAGAATCACCTAACTGGAAGCCAGACACCCACATGGACCCGTTAAACCCGAGCCATCTGGTGTTACTTCCTCAGGTGAGTTGTTGGAGAGTTCTTTCCAGGGCTCCAGATCTCCCTTGATTTGGTCCATGGTCCTTTGTCCTTACTCTGAGATAGTTAATTGTCCTAATTTGATAGACATCTCACAACTCCTTTGGGTTTGGGGCTCGAACAACCCTTTCACAGGGGTCACATATCAGATATCCTCACATTAGATATTTGCAGTACGATTCCTAACAGTAGCAAAATTACAGTTATGAAATAGCAATGAAAATAGTTGTATGTTGGGGTCACCACAATGAGAGGAACTGTATTAAAGGGTCTCCACGTTAGGAAGGTTGAGAACCACGGGTTTAAAGTTACCTAGTTTGTTAGCTATAAAAGCATTTGGGCTAAACCTTTGGTTTAGTTTTGTGTTTTTGTTTGCTTGCTTTTGGATCTCCAAAGGCACTTAGATTTTGTTCACTTTTGGAACTTTGAAAGCATTTCGGTTTTTATTTTGTTTGCCTTGGTTTTCCTTGTCTTTGAAATGCTTCGGTTTATTATCATTTGGCCTAAGCATAACTCTGCGTGGTTTTTGCTGATTCTCCTGTGACCTTGCCGTTGCCAAGCTGTTAGTGTAGGAATTTCAGAGGCACTTGTTCACTCCCACAAGTGTGGAGGTGTCAGAAGGAACATCCCATGACAGGCAACGGCCCCATAAGGGAAAACAACAAACATACCCCATTCCTGGAGCAGACGTATGAAGGATTGGTCACCCAGTGTACTGAGCACCTTGGTGTTTGTGTAACCACAAAGGATAATCCCAGATCCAGTAGAAGAAGATGATCTCAGTGTGAACGCTGAGAAAGTCATTCCCCAAAGCAGCTCATAAAACTGACTCAAAATACAAATCCACTGGCTAGTATAGACAGACAGGCAAATTTTCAGGTGAAAAGGAATATATATATTTGGAAAAATGAGGAGAAACATGTACTTCCTCCAAACTGGTTCATCTTACATCCTTGACAAAGTCCTAGGTGATGAAATAAAATTTGAAAATAATAATTAAAAAGAAAGAATCAAAATAGGCAACCTGCCTTAATTAAATGTAAAATGATCTGAAAAACAAACAAACAAATCAAAACTGATGAAATGGGTCATTCATAATAAAAAAGAACTCTTTGGGAAAACTACGTGTGAGTTAAGTTAGATGCTAAAGTAAAATAATTAATTAAAAACTTTCAGCACGTTTACACTGACACTAAAGATGGATTCTGAAATAGCTCCCCAATCTCCCCTTTCTCTGGCCTTGTCTCTCTCTCCTCCCATCCTACAGTCTCCCTTGAGCAATGTTTTTCCTTTCAACACCCATGCTCACATGAAAGTGTCTTTAGGATACAAACCAGTCCTAAAATTCAACCTCAAAGCCAAAGTCTCGGGCCCTTACAGAAACTCCCGGGGTTGTTAACGCTAACCAAGTGAGCTAGCCTGTGACTGAGCCCTCCCCAGCATTCTGAGGTCTATCCTGAGACACGGCCCTTCGGGTGTCGTTGCTGAGTTGCCCCACCTGTCCTTTGACTCATCAGTCCTGCTAAATATGGCTTCCGTGTGCCTTTGCTTCTGTTTTCCTAACCACCAACCC